CATTAGTAAACGCTATAACTTTCATGTAAACCAATTAATTTACACGCATACGTATTTATGATGAAATTTGATTTTTTTGATTTTTTTACTGGACATGTTTAATAGCAAAAAGTAAAAAAAAATAGGTTTTTTTTTTTCACAAAATTGTCGGTCTTTTTTTGCTTATAGCGCAAAACCGCATAGGCAATCAAATACCACCGAAAAAAAATCAATTCGTGGGGAAAAAAAAAAAAAAAAAGGACACAAAATGAATTTGGGTGCAGCGTTGCATGACCACACAATGGTCAGTTAAATTAATGCAGCGCCGTAACGCGAAAAAAAATGCCTGGTCATGAAGGGGGGTAAATCCTCAGGAGGGCAAGTGGTTAAGTATACTTTGATAGTGGAAAAGGTGCATTTAAAAAAGGGAAATGAGGTAAAGCATCCTCCTTTAAGGAGATATATCGATGTAACTCCAATTAGGGTGTAATTTTGAGATTATCACTCCAGTGTTCATTTCTGATAGGTTAATTTTTTTATTCATATAGATATATTTTAATTGGTTTAGACAATCTTTAGATGGAAATGGAAGATAGGTTATAGGGAAAATGTGTAATTATTATTATTATACAGGATTTTTATAGTGCCAACAGTGTGCAGAACACTTTACAATATACAGGCATACCTCGGTTTACGAATTTAATTCATTCTGCTGGTCTTTTCTTATTTCGAAAAATTCGTAAACCAAAACTCAGTTTCCCATTTGAATGTACTGAAACCAATTAATCTGTTCCGGAGGTCAGAAAAAAGTAAAAAAAAAAAAAAAAAAAAAAAAAGTCTTTTATCTGTTCAAAACTCTTTATAAAGTGCACTTTAAAAAGGCATAGTACTGTAGAGGGGCATGATTAAAAAAAAATTGGAAATGCATTGAAAACCAATTCATCCGTTTGTATTGCAAAACAAATTTGGAAACCGAGGTGTTATTTTCAATGAATTTTCATTCGTAAACCAAAAATTACGGTAACCGAATTCACAAACCGAGGTACGCCTGTAACGGGAGATGGTACTTTTACAAAAAAAAAACAAAACAAAACAAAACAAAACAAAACAAAAAAAAAAAAAAAAAAAAAAAGAGTATTAAGAGGGTCCTGTTTATAAGCACTTACAATCTAATAGGGTAGATATGGGGTTACTTTAGATTAACAGGAGCTGGTTATATTTCAGCTGCCTTAACACTTAACAAAGCCTAAATGGATGGGATACATACAGTGTATGTATGAATGTAAGTTAGGGACCTTAGATTGTACACCCCTAAGGGTTAGGGACTGATGTGAACGTACTATATATATGTAAAGCACTGCGTAAATTGACGACGCTATACAAGTACCTGAAATAAAAGAATAAAATATACAATTGAATGTAAAAGGTCTGATAATAACTTGATGCATGGTCTATGATGTGAGAGTAATAAATAAAATTATAACAAAGTCTACGCACATTGTTAGGATAGATGCCACCTGCAGCCATCTGTTTTCTAGTTTCTTGATCTGACTGATGATTTTCTGTTCCTTCATATACAGATTGTTGGTACTTGTTTTTATTTTTGATGTGGATTATGAAATAATGTGTCCCTTTTCCTTGGAAGTGCAGTGATAAGTAAAAAAAAAAACAAAACTTTGGATTTCCGGACAACTCTGCATGACCGCACGGTATTATCATATATAATGTTGTGACTTTGGAAAAATATGTAAGATGGAAACTAAGGATTTGCATTTAAACTAAAACAACAGAGCAAACAAAGAGAAATTATAATATTGCCAGGAAAAGGTTGTCTTTTTAAAACATGAAACTGGAGTTCTTACACAGAGCATGGTAGGAAAAAACAAGCCATTAAGATATATTTTATGCAAGCTGGACCCAGTAATGACTGGTTCACCCGGTTATATCAGAGCAGTAGCTGTATGCAAGGTGCTACTACACAAAAAGGTACAGACATTAGTTTTGGTCAACTATTCAACTTTAATGATCTCACATCTTGTGCAGCAATTATTGCAAACAGTCCAACTAAATATTTGTCAAATGCAAGGGTCACAAAATATAAATTTATAGTTACTTATGTACAAATATACAGTATCTCCAAGAAGTGAGTACATCCCTCACATTTTTATAAATATTTTATTATATATCTTTTCATGTGACAACACTAAAGAAATGACACTTTGCTACAATGTAAAGTAGTGAGTGTACAGCTTATATAACAGTGTAAATTTGCTGTCCCCTCAAAATAACTCAACACACAGCCATTAATGTCTAAACCACTGGAAACAAAAGTGAGTACACCCCTAAGTGAAAATGTCCAAATTGGGCACAATTAGCCATTTTCCCTCCCCGGGGTCATGTGACTCGTTAGTATTACAAGGTCTCAGGTGTGAATGGGGAGCAGGTGTGTTAAATTTGGTGTTATCGCTCTCACTCTCTCACACTGGTCACTGGAAGTTCAACATGGCACCTCATGGCAAAGAACTCTCTGAGGATCTGAAAAAAAGAATTGTTGCTCTACATAAAGATGTCCTAGGCTATATATGAAGATTGCCAAGACCCTGAAACTGAGCCGCAGCACGGTGGCCAAGACCATACAGAGGTTTAACAGGACAGGTTCCACTCAGAACAGGCCTCGCCATGGTCAACCAAAGACGTTGAGTGCACGTGCTCAGTGTCATATCCAGAGGTTGTCTTTGGGAAATAGACGCATGAGTGCTGCCAGCATTACTGCAGAGGTTGAAGGTGTGGGGGGTCAGCCTGTCAGTGCTCAGACCATACGCCGCATACTGCATCAAATTAGTCCGCATGGCTATCATCCCAGAAGGAAGCCTCTTCTAAAGATGATGCAGAAGAAAGCCCGCAAACAGTCTGCTGAAGACAAGCAGAGTAAGGACATGGATTACTGGAACCATGTCCTGTGGTCTGATGAGACCAAGATACACTTATTTGGTTCAGATGGTGTCAAGCGTGTGTGGCAGCAACCAGGTGAGGAGTACAAAGACAAGTGTGTCTTGCCTACAGTCAAGCATGGTGGTGGGAGTGTCATGGTCTGGGGCTGTATGAGTGCTACCGGCACTGGGGAGCTACAGTTCATTGAGGGAACCATGAATGCCAACATGTACTGTGACATACTGAAGCAGTGCATGATCCCCTCCCTTCAGAGACTGGGCCACAGGGCAGTATTCCAACATGATAAACAACCCCAAGCACACCTCCAAGATGATCACTGCCTTGCTAAAGAAGCTGAGGGTAAAGGTGATGGACTGGCTAAGCATGTCTCCAGACCTAAACCCTATTGAGCATCTGTGGGGCATCCTCAAACAGAAGGTGGAGGAGTGCAAGGTCTCTAACATCCACCAGCTCCATCATGTCATCATGGAGGAGTGGAAGAGGACTCCAGTGGCAACCTGTGAAGCTCTGGTGAACTCCATGCCCAAGAGGGTTAAGACAGTGCTGGAAAATATTGGTGGCCACACAAAATATTGACACTTTGGGCCCAATTTGGACATTGTCACTTAGGGGAGTACTCACTTTTGTTGCCAGCAGTTTGGACATTAATGGCTGTGTGTTGAGTTATTTTGAGGGGACAGCAAGTTTACACTGTTATACAAGCGGTACACTCACTACTTTACATTGTAGCGAAGTGTCATTTCTTCAGTATTGTCACATGAAAAAATAGAATAAAATACTTACAAAAATGTGAGGGGTGTACTCGTTTCTGTGAGATACTGTAGCGATGAAAAAGTTGTACCACTGAACCCAGCCACCTTACTGCCTATATTGGAGGACGCGGACAAAGAAAAACCACATATATGATGTTGTAAGAATCAGCTGCTGTGAGTCCACTGCAGGACACGATCCCTAAAGACCTAGATATTTGATTTTTTTGTAGATTTGATTCCGGTTTTATACAAAGGATGGCTAGACCCATACTGAATATGCAGTTATCACCCAGAAGGAAGCTCTGTATTCAGAGTCAATGCATTCTTCTTCCCCAGGTCAAGAAGCAGAGCTCCATGCTTTAGCAAAGCCTGTGAGCTATCAAAACAGTATACATTTAAATATAGATAACAGAGAATGCAAGAGCTTTTGGTTCCATTTGAAGGGCTAGAATTTTTTTTTTACCTCGGCAGGTAAACCAATCAAGCATGCTAAGTTAATTGATTGGCTGTCTACAGCTTTCCAGCTTCTTGCGGAGGTAGCCATACTAACATCAAGGCTACTTTCACATTGAGGAGTTATTGAAGCATTTTTGCGTTAAAAAAGCGGCTGAAAAGCTGAAGAAAAACACTTCCCTATGTATGTGAATGTATGTCTATGTATGTTTTCACACTGAGGTGTTGCATTTGCAGTGCAGTGTAAAAACTCCTGCTTACAGCATCTTTGGGGCATGTTTAGTAGTGTAACTAAGAAATGTCAGTTCATATGCAGTTTACAAAACTTGAAGGAAAAGTCACCTGGATCCACACCAGACACTGCAAAAATGACTAAATGAAAAGTAGCGGAGTTTAATTTTCCTATTGGAAGCACAGTCTGGGGTACTATTTATTCAAATGTTTTAACCACTTGCCCTCCTGAGGATTTACCCCCCTTCCAGACCAGGCCATTTTTGTGTTACTTTAACTGACAACTGCACAGTCATGCAACGCTGCACCCAAATTAAATTTACATCCTTTTTTTTCCCCACAAATAGAACTTTTTTTGGTGGTATTTGATCGCCTGTGAATTTCTATTTTTTGCGCTATAAACAATAAAAAGACCAACAATTTTGAAAAAAAAAAACCAAAACTATATTTTTTACTTTTTGCTGTCCAGTAAAAAAAATTTTAAAAATCAAATTTAGTCATAACTTTTGGCCAAAATGTATTCTGCTACATGTCTTTGCTAAAAAAAAAATCCCAATACGTGTAAATTAATTGGTTTATGTGAAAGTTATAGAGTTTACAAATGGCGGTATACATACTGGGATTTTTTTTTTTTTTTTTTTTACTAGTAATGGCGGCAATCAGCAACATAAAAAACTGCTGCCAGGAGAAAAGGCGTTTAGGACTAGAGATGGACAAACGCCCAGTGATCATGAGGTCTAAAAGTGCCACTGATAGGTTCTCCAAAATATGAAATAAACACAAGGTGCTGGTGATACCTTTGTAATAGCCTTGTAGGAGGGGTGGGGGCATAATACTGGGACAAATCTCAAGAAGACATAAGAAAGCTGTTGATTCAAGACACTGGTACCTTTCCACTGGGTAAAGTTAGGCAGCTGATTTGATTTTCTTTCCATCAGCACAGGTGGAAGGAAAGTAAATCGCTGAATCCCCCCATAAGCACAGTCAGTGTGCTCCATTGTGTTCTGCCGTCAAGGGGGGTTTCATGGGAAGCCTTCCTAATCGCATGTAGAAAAATCAGACAGGCTGGTTGTACCCAGGTCGATCGATGGATCGACTTGGGTACAATCACCCTGCCCATACATGGATCAATTCTCGGCTGGACCCTGCTGAACCAGCCAATTTTGATTCACGAATGGCCAGCTTTGACCTATAGCCGTAATTGTTTCAAGTTACATGTGCGGACTGACCATTCGAGCACTCGGGCACCGCCCGAGGGCCCGGGGTCAGTAGGGGGCCCCATAAAATGTCCCCTAGTACCTTTTTTATAGGCTTTTTTGGGTGTGCTTTGAGTGTGGGCAAGGACACGGGCCCCATGATCCCTTATTGCCCAGGGGCCACATGAATTGTCAGTCCGCCCCTGTATCATGTAATTATCCTGACTACTCTAGATGTCAGAGCAGATCTGCTAGTAGGCAAGAAGAAATGTTTTGTGTATTTAGCTCCTGGCTTTTTTACATCAGCTTGCTGGTTTTTGGTTAAGATAAGCCTTGGTCAGAGCAGATGTTCCCATCCAATAGCAGCGTATGCATGACAGTAGCTCATATTTCAGACAATGTGCTGTTCAAGGCAAACCATTCCTGTGGAAAACAACACTGCTGAAACAAGATCCTGCAATAAATATTTAAAGCCACAATAGTCAAATAGCACCATATGTGACGTTTAGCACAAGCTCATGGTCTACCCAGCAGCTTTACCTGTCAAAGATCCACAAATTGCTATCATTTAACCTTCAGCAGCGGCAGAAAGAGAATACTACCCACAGACAGACTCGTGGCATAGATGTTAGAAAAGGTGTTAGAATGTTCATAGATCACAAGTCTCTGAAATAAATAAAACAGGATATGAAAGCAGCAGTGTGGTTAGAAGAGAGAAGTGGCCGTCCGGATCTACACAGTGTCTGGACTAGTTAGAATGGAATGAATGACGTATAAGAGATTTACCAGCACGGCCATCTGCTCCTATGGATAAGACAAAGTGACAACGCCAAATGCTAATGTGGGCTACACGAGCCCCCACATTACGGCTATTATATACAGCTGCCAATTAAAACACTATTCAATTCCCAAACAATAATGTAATCCAGGGGTATGGACATTTTTGAAAAAACGACTTGTCCAGGGACTAAATCGGTGTCCCAATTTACTTGTCCCTCATGACAATCTACTTGTCCACATAATAAAAAATAAATTTGAACCAAAACCGTATTTTAATCAGAGGTGATTTTAGGAATGTCTGGGGCTTTTAAAAACAAAAGGGGCTTTATGGTGACTTATGCAGACCATACATGGTTCGAATTCTGAACAATTTTTTTGTCCAAAAAATCAAAACGTCATTCTCTCGGTAATCCAGTGGTGCCATCAATGGATTTTGAAAATCGGCCAACCAAGTCATAAAGTTCACCCCATATAACAGGCAAAACTTTGTTCCTTCCAGGTCATGGCTCATGCGCATATTCTTTTCGTAAAAATGATCATATGATTTAACCATCGAGTCGAAAATCGATCGTTTTTCACGAATTTTCCAACTTGCTGAAAAGGGGAGAAACCACGAAAATCGACCAGTGCCATTGACCCACTAAGAGCAAAAATCAGCCAATTATTCTTAGGCCCGATTTTCAAAAAAAAAAAAAAAAAAACGGTTGAATTTTGACCCATGTATGGCCAGCCTTAAACGCGTAATAATTTTAACATTGTGTGGTTTATCTCCTCCTCCCCTTCCTGCCTGTCTCCAGCACCGCACCCGGGAAGCAGGGAAGGGAGAGACCTGCAGTGTAAGGAGCACCGATTGAGTGCTCCTCAGGAAAGGGGAGTGTCGGACTTATCCTTTATCCCTTTCACTGCCAGCAACAATTTTGCGGTCTTTTGCACACATTTACAAAAATCATCTTAGGCTTGAAGATTTTATAAAACCAACAAACATATTTTCTGAAATCAGAGACCTTAGAGAAACAGCAGTAGTTCCAATTTTTTATGTCGCACGATATTAATGCAAATTTCAGTAAAAAAATACAAGTAAGTTACTTTTAGGGCACAAAAAGCAGTAAATTATTCTTTTTTTTTATAGAATATAAAAGATGAGGTTGCAGCGAGTAAATAGATATCCAACACGTCAAACCTTAAAGTTGTGCGCACTTGTGAAATGGCGATCAACTTCAGTACTCTAGATTTTCTATAGTGACACACAGTTAAAGCCCCTTATAGGTCATCAGTTTAACGTTACAGAGGAGGTCTGGTGATAGAATTCTTGCTCTCATCCTGGGGTGCGCGGTGATATGTAACGTGTATTGCAATCGTCACTTTCATGTGTAGGCGCCCCAGCGTGTGCTTTTACGTTTGTATGTGCATATATGTGGGGGTGGGGCATGTTATGTACTTAAGTGTAACTTTCATTTTTCAAAATGAAAAAAAAAATTTTTTTTTTACTTCATTTTTTTATCACATAGGACATAGCGGAACACCGATCACTGTAAGAGACCTCTGTGTGAGGTCCTGATCATGTGATCACTGATTGGCCAATCAGTGATCACATGAATAGTATTAAGCAAGATGTCACTTCTGACATCATTGCTCACTACGTGTGAAATCTGTGAATGATCACAGAGGTCACATGGTACAAAGCTATTCACACCAGCCTTGTAACACTTGACAAGCTGTGACCAATCACAGCTCTCACAGTATTACTCAATGGCTGTAAGAACTCAGCAAGAGAGGAGAGATTGTTGCTTTTACAGCCTTTTATGGGTGTAAAAGCAGTCAGTGTAAAGTAAAAAAAAAAAAAAAAAAATCATCACCCCCCACAAGTATGTAAAAAAAAAAAAAAATCATCACCCCCCACAAGTAGTACAGTGTCACTATGGTGACATTGTACTGCTAGGGTGACAGTATGTAAAAAAATAAAAATAAAAAATAAAATGTAAAAAAAACATTTTTTTTGAAAAATTATAATTTTTGGTTATTAACTAATTTGGGTTTTTTTTTTTTTTTTTACTAAAAAGATAACTGAATACATTTTTGCCAAGATTTATGAAGAAAGATAATTTATTTGCAAAATTTTGTAAGAAAAAAACACTTTTTTTGGACTTTTTCATTTATGTAGCAAAAAAAAAAAAAAAAAAAAAACCCCAGTGGTGAATAAACCAAACTAAAGTTTTATCTGTCTCAAAAAAAAGCTAAAAAATTAATATGGGTACAGTGTTGCATGACCGCGCAATTGTCATTCAAAGTGTGACAGTGCTGAAAGCTGAAAATTAGCCTGGACAGGAAGGGGGTAAAGGAGTCCAGACATGAAGTGGTTAACAGACCAAGCTTTCCAGCAAAACTGGCAGTTAGATGGGTGAGACAAACCATTGAATACAATGGTCAGCTTTACTTATTTATTTAAAACCTTTATCGCACAAGGCAACCAAAAAAAAAAATGGTAGCTGCAATTGCCTAACAAAAAGTGTTCACTGGAGTTTACTTTCAATTTGTTAAGCTGGCCATAAATGTGTAGATTTTCAGACATAAAATATTCATAAGAAAAGTCGTATGAAAATGCTCGAGCACACCCCTTATGACTACGTGCAATAGCACGAAACGTGTCAAGGAGGAGCTGTACGCCATGACGTCACGCTGCCAGGGCCTCGGACAGGCCCGGCAGCCATCTTAGATTGCATATGATCAGTGTTTGTTGCTTGTATCTTTTACCTTGCTTTTTTCGGATGGATTAAATAAATATTATTGAGGAAATTACTATACTATGGGCATCCTTCTTTCTGGCTCTTTATGAGCTAACAAACCCACAGAGCCCATCACGGAGTACGGCTGAGGTGCTGCAGATAACCCAGTGGAAGGGGATCTCTCTGACCAGACCAGGCTGTGTGCATCCTTAAGGGGACCTCCGGTTCACCACATTACTTCTAAATGCGTATTAATGTTACGCATCTGGTGAGTGCGTAATCTTACCACATTCCAGGCACATCATCGAATTTTCATTCTAGCATGTGAAGCACTTATTTGAGATCATTTTCATCTGGATCTCCACATTTTCACTTTTATGGACATTGAATTGTCTTTTATATGATATTGACAATTAGTTATTGTCATTTGTTCACTACTGCCACTGTATGATTATTAGCACTTTATACTGCTTTTACAGTAATGGTTCATGATTAAACACGTTATTGCATTAGCACTCATTTTGCACCTGTCACTTTTATGGACATTTTTAATTTTTGTATGGATATTGAAAAATATTTATTATCATAACTTTATCACTATTAACATAATAGCTAATCAGTTTAAATAATTTATTTACATGATTCATCATTGGCCTTACACTGCATTTATATTTTGATGGTCATCAGTGTAGCAATCGTACGCACCGAGATGGACGCGGTCATCCATCTTGTTAAGAATCTTCCATTTTGTATCATCTCTCTTTCCCAAATCAGGCTTCCTCCTCCAATTTCCCCCCTCCTTCAGGAACGTGGTCTGTGTGTGTTTGCGGAGTTCAAAAGGCAACAGGCCCCAGTGGGAGAGCTCCAGGGATGTAAATCCCACACTAGCTAGGTTCCCCTCTGTCTGCAAGACCCTTGCTGGAGAAGGGGTCATCAAGCCATAAACCAGCCCTCACTGAGCTTCAAAAGACATTCCAGGTGGTCATAAAAACAGAATTACATTTTAAAACCCTGTTTTCCATATCATTTTATATCTCCAAATAGGAAATAATTACGCAAACATGATACACATAGTCGGATGACTCACTGTAAGACAAGTCGCCTGGTATATTACACCCCCTATCTGACATACACAGGAGAGCAGAAAATTATATCTCCTTAACCATTCAAGCAGATATTTCATATCTAACCGTTCAGCAGATGATTCTGGGTATTAATCTACTCGTGGATAGAATGTTATATGTACCTAGGAAAAGTTATTGGCCATAGTATAATTTGGGAAGGCTTTGGTCAAAGCCTGAGCTCCCCGCCTACACATCCCCCTCCCCAAATGAGACAATTGGTTCTCTGAGTCAGGGAGACACCCTGTGGAGTTCCTAGAAAAACTAAGCTGAGCAAGGCTGAGCTAAGCTGAAGAGTTCTCCCTTTTTTTTTTTTTTTTACATCGGAACCAACTTTGGGAGAAAACGTCCTTTTTGCTCAGAAAACTTGAAAGCTGCTTAACCCAAGGCTTTTGGCAAGTACTTTATCTAAATTAATTTCTGTTATCTCTTTGCTGTGCTATTGCTTTCTGTATATTTATATATCTTTTGGCTACATCTTTTTCTGTAAATATTTTTATTGCACCCTTTTGACCTTTTAGTAATAAATCTTACTTTCTGAAAGAGTTGAACTTTTTCTAAAGCTCTTTAATGTAAACTCAGAACCCCTGCCTCAGAAAAGCGCTACTGTGTGTGTTTTAAACTTCGGTATATCGCTGCCTGCGGTGACAGTGGTATACCGACGATTATTCAAACATCATAGTGTTATTGCTGAAATTGCCAAGTTTCCTCTCTGTACAAAAAGGAGGTGGTGGCAGTGTGAAGGGTTAATTGCATAATTAACCTGACCCAGTAACAATCGCACTTAAGCTGCAGGTACATCAATTGTGGTCCATTAAATGGAAAATCGTTGGTGCAGCTGGGCATGCCATTGTTACGCACGTGACAGTACGGTTTTAGATTGGCTAGTCCTTCGGTCACGAGTTTGGTGAGAAGGGCTGGGTCTGACGCCGCGATCGTCACAATCAGTGTCTCAGCACTGCACCTATATTTATCTTATTGGTTTGGAGGTTTTTATTGGTGCGTTAGCTGCTCATGTTTTAGCGCTCGCTTGTCTGCTTTTATATTTACGTTTAGCCAGTATATGTGGTTAATGCTCAGAAATTACATTCATTTTAAAATCAAATGTTAAAAGCAAAAGAATTTTTGAACGCCATTCACCCATTCATTGAATGTTCAAAGAATTTCCGTACTTTTATTACGAATATTGTTGCCCGAAAATTCTCACGTGTATGGCCAGCTTAAAGCTGTCCATACATATAGAGATTTTCGTTTCTAGAATATTCATTTGATTTTCTAAATGTTAGTGGGGTCAAATTGATGTTTGTTTCAACAACAGCGAGTGGAAAATTTGAAGGGGCAGGAAGGAAAACTTTTCTCGATTAAACAAATTTTCGGCCAGTGTATGTGGTTATCATTCGGAAATAAAATTTATTTTAAAAATCGATTAAAAGCAAAATACAATTTTTGAATGATATTCGCCCATTCATCAAATGTGCAAAGAATTTTCATACGACTTTTCTCACAAATATTCTCGTCCAAAAAACGATGTGTGCATGGCCAGCTTAAAACAGGAAGATTGTTACTGGCAGGATCACCAGGTGAAAAGAAATAAGAAAACTGATGGAGTTACCACATCTTAGTTAGGTAAGCTGTAGTATATTCCATTTTTGTTTTTGGGTTTGCTACGGCTTTAAAGTAACACTACACTCTGGTTTCAAAAATTATGTTCATGTAGTGCTGCTCTCACGTGACTTCCTGTTAGAGGGTGGCTACGTTCATTCTCCATGGTCCCACTGTATGTAGGAATTGAGCCACTCACTCTTGTGCACTCCTTAGATGTGACTATGGGATATGCAGTGTGCATAGAGCAGTGCACATGACCACAACTAATATGCACTGCTTGTCCCAAACAAACAGAAGTGATGGGGAGAAGGAGAGGTTTAGGTGCTCATGGAGGACATTAAAAGCAGGCAAGGTAAAACAATTTCCAGAAAAATGAATTACAGGGCTATTAAACTGTGTCTTATTGACACCTAGAGCTGGGCTTGCAATTGGGGACACTGGTCAAGGGGGAGGAGTCAGGAGCCTCAGCAGTTGAACCAAGCATAGGAGGGTTGTGGTTGCTCTGTGTAAACCACTACACAGAGCAGGTAACTAGAACATGTTTGCTATTTTTTTTTTTTTTAAAGCTGGCCCTTTAAGTAGTGGATATGTACAGATTATTTGTGGAGAATAAGGATATAGTTTAGTATCACTTTAACCGTTTCCAGTCTGCCCTATAGCAGAAGCACTGCTACAGGGTGGCACAGTTGTGCAAAATCATATTTTTTATATATATACACACGTAATTTTGCAGTTGTGGGTAGGGGGTGCGCAAGGCATGAGCACCCTACACATGCCACTATTTGCGGCCTCAGCTGTCAATCACCGGGTCCCCGGCGGTGATTACTCACCGGCGCCTGGTGATTGCTCACCGCGCCTGGTGATTGCTCACCGGCGCCTGGTGATTGCTCACCGGCGCCTGGTGATTGCCCACCGGCGCCTGGTGATTGCCGAGCATTTCAGACGGGGAGAACTGTTTGTAAACATTACAGTTCTACACCATCAGCTCATGTACACTGCTTTGCATGGCTGTGCATAGCACAGCCATGCAAAGCAGTGTGCTTACAGTGAGGCACTAACAAAGGACACAGTGTAAAAAAAAACGGCACACAGCACAGTTAACCCTTTGATCACCCCACGTTAACCCTTTCCTGTCCAGTGCAATTAGTACAGTGTCAGTGCTTTTCATTAGCACTGATCACTGTATTGGTGTCACTGTGGAGGTCAGCGACACCAAGTCAGTTCCCCCCAGTGTCAGAATGCCCACCGCAGTCCCATTATAAGTCGCTGATCGCCACTATTACTAGCAAAAAAATCCCAGTATCTATACCGCCATTTTAAACGCTATAACTTTCACATCAACCAATTAATTTACATGTATTGGGATTTTTTTTAGCAAAGACATGTAGCAGAATACATTTTGGCCTACATTTATAACGAAATTTGATTTTTTTAAATTTGTTTGCTGGACATGTTTTATAGCAAAAAGTCAAAAATATTTTCTCTCAAAATTGTCGAGATTTTTTTTTTTCATAGTGCACAAAATAAAAACCGCAAAGGCGATCAATTACCACCAAAAGAAAGGTCTATTCCTGGGGAAAAAGGACGTAAATTTCATTTGGGTGCAGCGTTGCATGATCGCGCAATTGTCAGTTAAATTAACGCAAAATATGGACTGGTCAGGAAGGAGGGTAAATCCTCTGGAGGGCAAGTGGTTAACAACTGAGATGTAAAAAAAAAAAAAACAAATAGCAAAAACTCAACAATATAAAACACACACTACTGAAACATTTGTGTCACCTGAGCTACCCTATGTTTTGTCATAAACATAAATTAACAGAACCCAGAAATAGTCCTCTATTCTAGAGAGCCTTCTGAGGACCAGCAAAGGGAACCACTTGCCCAAACTGGATCCCTTGGCCTTGCAGGTCCCATTCCTAGGAGCTCCCACAGGATCATCCTTGGCATCATCTAGGCTCAAGGTCCCAGCACCACTCTCCCACTGACACCAGCCCAGCATCCCACCTCTGCAAATTACCCTAAGGAGGCCCTACCTACTGCTTCTGTCCAAAATCCCATCCATGGCATTGTTGTGTGCAGGGGCCAAGAACAATGACTTGAGTCCAGGACCAAGGGGAGCACCCTGCACACAGCCCAGGCTCAAGGGGAGCACCCTGCACACAGCCCAGGCTCAAGGGGAGCACCCTGCACAGGCAGCCCTGCACAGGCTCAAGGGGAGCACCCTGCACAGGCTCAAGGGGAGCACCCTGCACAGGCTCAAGGGGAGCACCCTGCACAGGCTCAAGGGGAGCACCCTGCACAGGCTCAAGGGGAGCACCCTGCACAGGCTCAAGGGGAGCACACAGCCCAGGATCAAGGGGAGCACACAGCCCAGGATCAAGGGGAGCACCCTGCACAGGCTCAAGGGGAGCACACAGCCCAGGATCAAGGGGAGCACCCGGCACACAGCCCAGGATCAAGGGGAGCACCCGACAGCCCAGGATCAAGGGGAGCACCCGCACACAGCCCAGGATCAAGGGGAGCACCCGGCACACAGCCCAGGATCAAGGGGAGCACCCGGGCACACAGCCCAGGATCAAGGGGAGCACCCGGCACACAGCCCAGGATCAAGGGGAGCACCCGGCACACAGCCCAGGATCAAGGGGAGCACCTGGCACCTGCCACACGAACAACGGGAGCGCCCTGCACAGGCTCAAGGGGAGCACCCTGCACACAGCCCAGGATCAAGGGGAGCACCCTGCACCCGCCACACGAACAAGGGGAGCACCCTGCACCCAGCCCAGGAACACGGGGGGGGGGGCACCCATCTCCCGCACACAGGCCAGGTAATGATCCCAGAGACTCAGGGTCACCACTGAGGATGTCTCCTATGGCCCCCCCACCCTTGAATGTCATTGTGTCTCACCATAAATCATGGCCAGCCCAGTCTCATGCAGGAATCGAGCCCTCCTGTGTTTGAAGAGCCATATGGTGAGGATAGTTAAGGTCAGCAGCAGGATGAATGTCAGCAGGCTCACACTGTCCTGCCTATGGCTCTCCTCAGCCTCCTTCTCAGTAGCGATCTCCTCCATGGCGCTGTCCTCAGCACACGTCCAGGGGATCCATGGGATCAGCACATACAGGAGGCTGAGCATGCTTGTGTCTGCACCACACTCCAGTCGTGGCTTCTCGCTGCTTCTTCCCGGACTCCAACCTACGCCGGCTCTTATCTATTGCTCAGCAGACTCGGCGCTCGGTATCCTTCCTCCTCCTCCCGCTGATGATGACAATTACACGGATCTCCAATGCGCAGAATCCCCGCTCTGAGCCCATTGCGACTGCCACAGCCGCGCTTCCCTACTGCGAGCTGCACCGCACAGCACGAGACCGCCCGGCTCCGCCCACCGACACGCCCCTTACGGGGGGGGGGGGGGGGCAGGCGTGACACTGGCTGTGTTATTAGAGACACTGCGTGTAATCAGCAGGACCCTAATACCAGGTACCACGGAACATGCACCCCACTTCCATCCTCGTGATGAAGCACTTGTCCACCAGGGCACGTTTTCCATTGTTCACACACGATTTCAAATCTGGATTTGTTTTGCTGGAATTGACTTCTAGGGCTCATTTACACCTGCTTCAACGTTAGCGCTTACCACTGCAACATGCTTTTTTAATGTACTTTTGCTGCTTCCGTGATGCTTTTTTGCAGCTTTAATGAAGCTTGGCAAATGCCCTGTGTGGGACCTATCAGATCTCCTGTTCAGTAGTAACCCTCATCTCTGCTACTCCCCTGCTCAGTAGTAGCCCCCAGCTCAGTAGTAACCCCCAGCTCTGCTGATCCCCTGCTCAGTAGTAACCCCCAGCTCTGCTGATCCCCTGCTCAGTAGTAACCCCCAGCTCTGCTGATCCCCTAGCTCAGTAGTAACCCCCAGCTCTGCTGATCCCCAGCTCAGTAGTAACCCTCAGCTCTGCTGATCCCCCGCTCAGTAGTAACCCCCAGCTCTGCTGATCCCCAGCTCAGTAGTAACCCCCAGCTCTGCTGATCCCCAGCTCAGTAGTAACCCTCAGCTCTGCTGATCCCCCGCTCAGTAGTAACCCCCAGCTCTGCTGATCCCTAGCTCAGTAGTAACCCCCAGCTCTGATGATCCCCAGCTCAGTAGTAACCCCCAGCTCTGCTGATCCCCAGCTCAGTAGTAACCCCCAGCTCTGCTGATCCCCTGCTCAGTAGTAACCCTCATCTCTGCTACTCCCCTGCTCAGTAGTAGCCCCCAGCTCTGCTGATCCCCTGCTCAGTAGTAACCCCCAGCTCTGCTGATCCCCAGCTCAGTAGTAACCCCCAGCTCTGCTGATCCCCAGCTCAGTAGTAACCCTCATCTCTGCTACTCCCCTTCTCAGTAGTAACCCTAATCTCTGCTACTCCCCTCTCAGTAGTAGCCCCCAGCTCTGCTGATCCCCTGCTCAGTAGTAACCCCCAGCTCTGCTGATCCCCAGCTCAGTAGTAACCCCCAGCTCTGCTGATCCCCTGCTCAGTAGTAACCCACAGCTCTGCTGATCCCCAGCTCAGTAGTAACCCCCAGCTCTGCTGATCCCCTGCTCAGTAGTAACCCCCAGCTCTGCTGATCCCCTGCTCAGTAGTAACCCCCAGCTCTGCTGATCCCCTTGTCAGTAGTAACCCACAGCTCTGCTGATCCCCAACTCAGTAGTAACCCCCAGCTCTGCTGATCCCCTGCCCAGTGCCATTAGTACAGTGTCAGTGCTTTTTATTAGCACTGATCACTATATTGGTGTCACTGGGGATGTCAGTGACACCAAATCAGTTCCCCCCAGTGTCAGAATGTTCGCTGCAGTCCCGCTATAAGTTGGTGATTGCCACCATTACTAGTAAAAAAAATGTACACGTATTGGGATTTTTTTTAGCAAAGATGTAGCAGAATACATTTTGGCCTAAATTTATGACAAAATTTGAATTTTAAAATTTTTTTACTGGACATGTTTCATAGCAAAAAGTGAAAAATATTCTTTCTCAAAATTGTCGTTTTTATTTTCTAGCACAAAAAATAAAGAACACTCAGTAGTATTCCAAGATCTGCTGATCCCCCACTCAGTAGTGACCCCCAGCTCTGCTGATCCCCCACTCAGTAGTACTCCCAACTCTGCCGATCAGCCACTCAGTAGTGATCCCCAGCTCTGCTGATCCCCCAATCAGTAGTGACCCCCAGCTCTGCAGATCCCCCGTTCATAGTAATCCCCAGCTCTGCTCATCCCCAGCTCAGTAGTGACACCCAGCTCTGCTGATCCCCCGCTCAGTGGTAACCCCCAGGGCTACTGATCCCCTGCTCAGTAGTAACCCTCATCTCTGCTGATGCCCCACTCAGTAGTAACCCCCAGCTCTAATGATCCCCTGCTCAATAGTAACCCCCCCTGTACTGATCCCCAGCTCAGTAGTAACCTCCAGCTCTGCTGATCCCCCGCTCAGTAGTGACCCCCAGCTCTGCTGATCCCCAACTCAGTAATACCCCCAGCTCTGATGATCCTTGTGACAGACCCAACCAGGACAGAGGCTTTTGGAAGGGACTAGGGGCTAGCCTTCTGCCCACTGATCATGACCCATGGAGAGAGCAGATCATTCTCTAATAATGGACAACAACGTGATGAACACTGAGAGCGAAGCTTGGATTAATTCTCTGCATAAACACAATAAATCTTCCCTTCTGAAATGGATGGAACGATGTAATATTAATCTTGTACAGTTTAATGGTCAGAGGAAATATGGTGGCCCTAATGCAGACTGGGTTGTAAAAGCTCCTCTAATTGGGACAGAAATATTTATCAGCAATCTCCCTCATTAAATCTATGAAGATAAATTGATTCCACTTTTCAGACTGTTGGAATATTGTATGAGTTTTGTCCTATGATGGACAGATTATACAAGTGAAAGCAAACACCTGAAAGACAGCATGTGTAATGTACTTTGTGTGTTCAGGGGTGGGTTTGTTGCCGGGCTGTGTGCAGTGGGCTCCCTGATTAATCAAAGCATTGACTTGCTGCCTGGCTGTTGA